TTTCAGCTTCAAATCAGCTCCAAAGGCAAACCAACATCTACTTGATATCCTGTCTATGGTAAATGATCAATGACTTGACTCAGCCTTAATGCATGTAGTTAGACTAAGCTGCTATGGGTGGCTCCACTGGCTTTATAGGCAGTTTATTCTGAATGCCATGGCTCAATCAGCAGTCAAGCTTTTAATAAAGTATTCAGAGCAGAAAGAAGAAAAACCTAAATGTGTGTTCACACAGAACAGGAAGTCATTCTGCCTAATGTGTGCTGCATTCATTTCATGGTCAGACTGCTGTATAGTCAGTTGTGTCACTTGGAATAGCCAGTGTCTCAGCTCGACAGTTTCCAGTTTAACTCCCCAGAAACTCCCATTCTTTCTGCAATTTCCCAGTAATCTTTCTCCTTTTGCCTCTCATCTTTGTTCAGTTATGACGTGCACTAAATTCATAAAGCCCTAGACTGAACAAAATGTTTCACTCAGGCTGAAACATTTTCACCTCACGTGGATGCCTCTTCACCTCCGTTCACGCTATTTTGGGGCAAATTTATGTCAATTTGTGGTCCCTTTTGTGCCTTTTCATTGAATGCAGTCATGCTACATCTTAAATTTGCTTTTCATTCTGTCTGAACATAGCTTGTGCCAGTTTTGTGTAGCACAAGATGTTTTTGTGTTATGAACAAAATAAGTATAACATAATATTTTAGAGTATAAGAGGTATTATCTTGTTATAAGATTTCACCAAACCAAAGCACTAATGCGTCTAAATGGCTGGAAAAACTACATTTTCTACAAGATCTAGGGTGACCGCACCCAGTCATCCCAGGTCAGACTGTCTACTGATTACCTTCAAGCTGGGCAATCAATAGGTTGCTTATCCATGGATGTCAACTGTTGATGCTGCTCAGTCAAAGCAGAGTCCCTGATCTCTTTTTACTGCAGCAGTCTGTCAATACCAGGCAGCAGCAGGCCTGTACACAATGCCCTGATCTAAATACAGTGGTCAGGAGTGACCTGTCAGCAACAAGGTCTGTCTGTTGCAGGTCATGCAGCCAATGGAAAATGCAAATTTCATTTGTCTAATCAATGCGTCTGAGCTTTAGAAGTCTCAGTACTGTGTTCAAAGCATTTAAAAATAATTTAAAAATAATTTTTACACATGCTGATTTCACCATAGTTCCTTCATATTTGGACAGCTTTTATATGTAGGTCACAGTATCTGGTAAATTAAAGATCTACTTTCACTATAATCTCACTGCTTAGTGAACAGTAAAAACAAAGATAAGCAAGGGGACATGGGTGTACTTCCAAGATCCACATAGATAAAGCAGGCTCATACTGTAGGTATGTTATTAGAAACACTAAAAAGCCTCACAACTGCTGTTTTGGATTGTGCATTCTGGCTAGACAGGCAATACTGTCCACAGGTCACCCCATGATTTGCTCTGTCTCCTTTGTTATTATTCCATTTTCTCCCAGTGAACAGAAAGACCAAAATAACCCTGGTGAAATCTATGGCTCTCTAGGGTCAAAGCTTTTGTGTTGGAGCAAGTGGAGAACAAGGACAGTGGTGACTGGAACATTACAAGGTCTAGAGTTTCACGACCTCATGGGGCTCAGTCTGCTGACACCGACAGGGCTCATTATATGAGCAGTCTGTACACAGATGAACCAAGAAGTGTTGTGTAAGCCACTCAGCATGTAATTCACTGGGGAAATTGTAGGGTGGACTCTTGTGTGAATCTAAATGATGCCTGAATGCACAGTAATTAAATATTTTGTAAATACATGCAGCTATGTGGTGAACTGTGGAAAGAGGGGTTATGATCCCAGCTCAAGTAAACTAATGCTAAATCCCACAAAACCTTTTTTGCCCATGTATCTTCTCTCTTTTCCCATAGCTTCTTCCCTGATTTTAGCCACAATAGCTTGGTGTTCTTGGTGGCTGGTCCACTATTTTGGTCCAGACTGGAATACCTCGAGCTACTGGATGGATTGTCAGATACTCAAGATCCCCAGATGATAACTTAATGATGTTGGCACATTTTTTTTGCTACCTTATCCAACTTTAGTGACCAGTGCATAAAAATCGCTGACATCTATCTGAATATTTTACAGATGCAGTCACCTTCAGTGGATTCACATTCTCAAAAGTTAATGAAAAAATGTCAGTCTTTGTCTGTTGAGGTGTCTGTTCTCCATTTCAGGCTGAGGGGATGCAGTACATGAAATGTTTGATAAAGCAGGAGAGCCTGAAAATGACTTGTACATACATCAAGTGCACTTGCATGTGTAGAAACACACACATTCAACTTCAGGAAGACAGCTGTCAGATTGTAGCTAATGAGCGTTAGATTTCTTTCTCACTTTCTGCCTCTCACTGTCTGTCTATCAGCTTCTGTCTTTTTCACACTCACCCACTGTCCTGGTAATGCCATGCTGTAGGTGAACTCTGGCACAGATCCTGTCTGTCTGTCTTGTAGAAATGAGCTTCCTAACCTAACAGTGATTTCTGTAATTGAAGAGTGTGTTAATTACATACCTTCACACTATAGCAGTCACATGCTGACCTGCCCAAAATCTATATATCCGAGGGCATGCTGGGACATGCTGATTGCTGTTACTATACTTAGAGGCTGGTTTATGTATTTCCAGCCAAGAGAAGGTCACCATCCCTCAGTGCTTTGATTCAACCCCTCTGACATCTCTCACAGCTGGTGTAATCAGATCCAGGCACACTAACCAACAGCTCTTGCACTTTCGAAGCTCTCCTCATGCATTATAGACAAACAGATTTTGTAGCATGGTTCAATGTGAAGCTGTGCAGCCGCTTGGCACTGATAAAGGCCCATGGCAGTGCACCACTAGCTGATAATTGCTGTTACAGTGATTGGACACAAAAGAGGCTTATGAGAATGTAGGTCAGGGAGAAATATCCAACCATAAATGTCTCGAGCAGCAGGAAAACAGGAACAGCAGACAAATTGCCTGTTGCTCTGCCTTTATGTTTATGTGCTGTCCACTAATTACTGTGAGCTGGGCATGCTAACGATGTCATGCTATTTCTCAGTATGAGCGTGATTTCTGTGATGCAGCAGCTGGTGTAGGCATCACGCCACACAAGGAAGACAAGCTTACCAATTTCTGCGGTCTGTTGCAATTTCAACTCACATACATGATTAACATTTGACAATCCACAAATCCTTCTACAACAGTCTGGATTTAGATTGCGTGGGTATGCTTGTGTCTCCTGGAAGCACATCAATTCATAATGAGTCGCTCTGAAGCTTTTTTATAGAACTCACCAACTGCTGGCTGAAATGCATTAGCCTTCTCTTCTATGGTGGGAGTATTTTTGTTTTTAGTGAATACCTCAGCTCAGGATCATGTCAGCTGGTGAAACCCAGTCTATTCAGATAACAATCCCCATATCCACCTCCTCTGGGCAGCAGCAAGACAAATTTCTCCCTTCTCAATCTCATTCAGCCATGTTAGTCAGCAGCATGAGTTCTGGGGGTGTTAGTGAAAGTATGCCTGACTCTGGAGGACCATCTCTGCAGTCTGGGCACTGGACTCAGGAGTGTGGCCCTGGCAGACAGATGCACAACACTAATGGCTTATGCACATCAAAATCTGTGTAGGCCTGTTCAAGTCTGTCTTCTGCACTTCCATCACTGTCTGGTTTGGCTCAGCAACCAAACAGGATAGGAACAGACTCCAGCAAACAGTCAGGACTGCAGAAAAGATCATATGTGCCAACCTGCCCTCCATGGAGGACCTGTACACCTCACGGATCAAAAGGAGGATGGAGAAGATTTCTGCAGACTCCTCACACCCTGGACACAAAGTGTTTGAAGTCCTTCCCTCTGGACAGCGTTACAGGTCACTGTACGCCAAAACAGCCAGACACAAAGACAGTTTCTTCTCCTAGGACATCGCTCTGATGAATACTTAACCCATGACTGTATAATAAAACAACAACCCTCAGTGCAATACCTGTAAATATACTTCTGTATCTACTGTATCTATCTGGAAAACTGCATCTAAACTGTGTATATATGTTTCTATATTTATAAGTACTTTATTTTTATTTTCTTAATGCACATTCCTTTTTCTGGTTTGCACAGTCTTTTCTTCTTTTCTTGTTCTCTCAGTCTTACCTTGTTTACTTGTTGTCCTACAGAAGAACATTGTACATACACATTGAGAGCCACTGTACCAGAGTCAAATTCTTCATGTGTTCAACACACCTGGCCAATAAAGCTGATTCTAATGCTGATTCTGATTCTGATAAGCCTATCATATAAAGAACTAATCTAATCTTTCATCAGTGGCGCTTTCATTTATTATGTGATACTCTAGTGAAGTTGGGCCGACCTACTGCTCAATGCAGTTTATCTGATTTCAGCAAGTAGGCAAACATGAATGAAATGTACTCCCTATGGGTCAATATACAGTACACTATATAGTACATACAGTAGTGTACTATATTCATTATCAGCACATGTTTTGACTCATTATATTTCTGTAATCTGATCAAAGGAGGGCTGATGTATTAACAAATGAAAAGCAGTCAGTATGTTGCTGAAGAACCTATGGTGCTTCTGTTGCTGTGTCATTACAGCACCCATGTGATGTTGTAAGAGCTTGTGTTTGTGGTGACGTCTTGTGGCCTGCTTCCCTGAGGCCAGTCAGAATGAATGGGCCTTTAGTATCTTGACTAAATAACTTTCACAGCCTGTTCTCTGAAGGAAGTTCGGTGAAAAAGGTTACAAACCCAGCCAAGACTGTTAAATAAAACATGTTTACAACAGTGGGGACACTAGTACAAACTGGTAATGCAACTAAGAAAGTGTTTTTATCTATTTCCAATTTTATGACGTTTATCCAGCAGTGAATATCTGACCTGGGTTTGAGACTCTTGTCTTCTCTTGAGACTTTTGTGTTATTTTTTAATTGATATTTCACTGAGGTTCAAAAAACAAACCACATTTTGAATTTTTTAAAAATAAGATTTTTATACTTAGAACATCTTTACATCATACATAAACATGCTTTTCTTTTGCACAGCAAAGATATGGCATTTATGTTTCAGACAACATAACAACAAACATTTTATGTACATGTAGTCAACATAATACTCAAAATGAATCCAATAACAGTGCAAACTAAAATAAATGAACAGACTGTTAGGTAAATTAAGGATGCCCTTTAGACCCACTGAACCCACTTGGGACAAAAACAAAACGTGCTTTAAAGACGGAATGGTTTTGGATTGTGGCGAGCACCTTTCAAATGAAAAATGCCATTTTCGGAGACAAAAAAGTTAGGTAAACAAGCTTGGGGCTACAACAAATCCTCTTAAATAAAAGAGATGGAATTAGTGCCGCTGGCCCTAATGATTTTGTCTGTTCAACCAGGCATCACTCAATCTGGCATGCAGTTATTTTTCGACATGTTTCTGTCTTTGCACAGTCCTAAAATATCACTCAGTAGCCTAGCTGTCTGTCCCTGTGCGGTAATTGTCCCAGAACCTTGGAGAATTATTTCAATTAGCTGTAGAGGCACAGGTTAAACTCTCCAACACAGGACTGATGGCAGAGGAAATATTTCTTGTGGAGACATTGTGGCTCAACAAAACAATACGTCAGAGGCGCACAGAAATGCCTCAAATTATTCAGGCAATTTCCTGCACCTTAACCTCCTCAAACCCATTAGTGAGTGGAGGAGGCTCCTGGCTGCCCTCTATGGAGGACTCGCTCCCCGTGCTCTCTCCGGAGAGAAGTCTGGTGACTCTGAGGTCAGATTTCAGTGTCTGCACATCGTTTCCTATGCTCATTTCTCCCAAGTCATTAATAATCTGAGTCAGCTCCTGTTTACCGTTGGCAACACAATCATCGGCCGTGTCCAGAATGTCCTCACATTCAAAGTGCATGGATTTCTCTTCCTCCTCCTCACCGATTAAGTCTTCTGTGATGGAGCCCAGCTTCGGCGCGCTCCGGCTGCGCTCCACCGGGGGTTTATAGTAACACTGTCCGTTTAGCAGCTTCCTGAGAGGGACTAGCGGAATAGTTTGTTCCCCTATGAGCTGCTGCTGCTGGTGCCTGGCATCGTCCCTCCGTTTTAGTCTTTTGAACTCTGCCAGGGCTGTAGCCGATGTCTGATAAAGCAGCAGCGCCATGGCCTTTGCTTTCTCCGGCTTGGACACCAGCACTGCGTGGCAGCGGAGCATCACGGCCTTGTGCTTCATCTCATGCCTGTAAATCCAAGCGAAAACCTTGGGTAGCCTCGGGTCCGCGACGCAGTAGGTTATCCGGTGCAGCAAGTACAAGTGTCCCGGCCTCCTGGCCTTGTCGTCCACATGCACCATCCGGATACCCTGCGAGCTGATGGTGAGCCTCATCTTGGTGCTGTTCTTGCCCATCTCGCTTTTGCCCCAGATCTTGCTCACCGCCACATCCGTGCAGCCCTCCCCTTTGGACTGGATGGTAGTTGCATTTCCCAGGTAGAGCACCGTGTATGTGGGGTCCTCGCTAGTGATCTTCACCTTTTTCCTCTTGGACTTGAACATGCTGCCCACCCTGTTGAGTGCGCTCTCTGGGCAGGACTTAGCGAAGGAGGTGAGCGCAGAGTAGTTAAGACTCACAGCATAGCCCTTCTGCTTGGATTGCTTGTCTTCCTCAATTAGGTCGAACTTATTTTTCTTCCAAGGCAGCATTTTATTGGTGGTTCCAGTCAACAGCAACGCTGAGAGAGAAAGAGAAGCACTTTTTATTACTACTAAATCCTAGATGTGTTTAGTGTCTGTCAAGTCATTTATGAGCTACTCTATAAGAACTGAACGGAAAGACACAATACTTTATCTGTCCAGCTTTAAAAGCGCTCTTATCCATGGTGATGTCTACCCTCCTACCTCATTATAATGCAGAGTACACTGTGCTCTGTTGGGACGCGTTTCACGAGTTATATTCAGGGAGAAACCATTTCATCGTGACTGTAGGGGGGACTGAACCAAATGAGATCAGACAAGTACTTTGTTCATTGATGGAAAGATTTTGCTGTGCATCATAACTGTATAGGCTACAGAGCTAAAACTAAGACTATTAATTTAAAAATGATAAAATTACCACAAGCACTGACTATTCAACTCTATTTGTAACACTTACACAATTACATTTAATAACAATCTAAATAACATTAGTTACAAAAGGTAATGTTATTCCATTTTATTTTGCTGTATAAAAATGACAATACCCCTCTAAATTTTTATAGGAATGGGCTATTCGAGTGATGTCATAAGAAATAGGCTAAACATTTAGTATTCAAATTAAACATCAACTGAATATAAAGGAATCAAATTCCTATAACTTATATTTTAGAACAATGGACTGACTGTGATTTTATTCCAAAGTAGACCTATAATATGGACGGTTACCACATTTCCACTCCCAACAAAATAGTAAAAAGCGTTTGCATGTTCTCTTTCAATTGTTCAAGTTGGTTTAAAAAGTAATTTTGTCTTTTTATATATTTAGCCAAATAAGGGTTTAACTTTAAATTGGGCGTGTTCCCAAATAAAATCAAGGATAAAAATGTAGTGATATGAATTCACCACATGGTCTTACATGAAAAACAGAACACGAACTAAAGTAGCCTATATATATATATACGCCAAATATAAACAGTGGGCTATATATTAAGACAGTCCTTATTTATTTTAGGCATGCGATTCACCAATAGGGCTGTTTTATGCTGCCACCTTCTGGTTTAGAACAGAAATGCGCTTGTAAATCTTTTTGCGTTTGTGCGACCTCGGAATAAAATTAATTTGTTAATATTGTATTTTCTGATTCATAATCTAACTCGGTGTTATATTTTTTGAGGAACGTATTTTATTTACTTGACTGTAAAACCGACCTCTGTTAGCTTTAGGAACTCATGTTGTTACTGTCCCAATATCCGCAGGGCACATTTATTTGTCGGACAAAAAGTGGATTGTACCATAGTTACGTTGCAATACATGCTTGTAGCAAATCAGATATTAGGCTGACTTTTAAGGGATTCAGTCTTCACACATATTATTATGAAGCAGTAACTATTTAGATGAAACGTTTAAAAAATTCTATTTACGTATTAATTAAGGTACATCGTCCGAATATACGTTGCCCGATTAGTTTGACCCACTTCCGGTTCTTACAACGACAACACCGTAGTTGGTACACATGGGTCACAGCCCTTAGTTACTGTCTGGTAACGGTATTGTGCTCTTCATGTGTTTTGTGTGAAGTGACAATATGGGTAAGAAAAAGGCAGGCGGAGGAAGCGGCCTGGGCAGAGCTATGATAAAGGAGAGACTCCAGGCAAGCCGAGGAAACAAGAGGGTCGACTCATGGGTATGTCATGACATCAGTTAGCTTTTATCAAACATATCATAAATTATAGTTATCCCACTGTTCGTAATATATTATTAAGTCCCAAACAGCCGTGGCCCTGAACTGAACTGCTACTCAGCTTCGTTACTACATGTAGTGTAGAAAGTATGATTTTATTTCCGCTTAGCTTATTAGGAAAGTGAAGTGCATAAAACAATGCTTGATCCTAATAAACAGACTCTTGGGATAAATTCGTCATAAAGATCATTAATAATCATTCCGCATAATTTTTACGATACAGTCTCAAAACGTTTTCAGAACTGGTTAAGTGGGGCTAGCTGCTGTTAATCACGGTATGTTTAAATGCATGATGACCATGGGAATAAAAAATACCAAAAGAGAGCATAACATGAGCTGTTTATTCAAGAGTTACGCATGCATAAATAACAGCTACTGTGTTTACAGAGAGGTGTTTTCTGTAGTACTCAGTGTAAATCAGGCTAATGTGTGGCTTATTATTGGTGTAGGCCATATTTGACTTTAATGTCATATTTCCAGCTCCACACCAGTGAACTGAATGATGGCTATGACTGGGGACGGCTGAACCTGCAGTCAGTGACGGAACAGAGCTCCCTGGATGACTTTCTGGCCACTGCTGAACTGGCAGGGACAGAGTTTGTTGCAGGTACAGTAAGTGATGCTTCACCTAACTCATGTTTAGTTCTTGGGTTGTATTTTGTGGCCAAGAATGGTTAATAGTTTCCCCTTAGGAAGCATACCAAGGTGTACTTTCTATTAGGGCAGCCACTTTGGTTGATCCACAATTTACTTGGCTGTTTTTGACCTTTTTTTTCTTTCTTTTCTTAGAGAAACTCAACATCAGATTTGTACCTGCAGAAGCTAGAGCAGGTTTATTAACAGCTGAGGAGAAGAACAGGCTGAAGAAACTGCATGAAGACAGCAAGCATTTCCTCAGAATCCCTCGTCGGTAAGTAGAATAGACCAAGTGAATGTCATTAAATTCAAGTATATTTTACGATTTTTAAGATTTGCGATATCACCGTCCTTATATTAAGGCCCGACTGGGATGAAGGCACCAGTCCAGAAGTGCTTCAGCAGGCAGAGAAAGACAGCTTTTTGAAGTGGAGACGAGAACTTGCACAGTGTGTAGCATTCTGTATTTAGTCACATTTGCTTTTATGAAGCAGTAATGTTATCTAGTGGTTAGTACTTTTATGTTTACTAAGTCAAAGTTTTTATTTGTGACCTATTGCTTTTGCATAATCTGTGTTGGATTATCAGGTGTCGATAATTTAACCACTGTTATTTCCAAAGGCTGGAAGAAGAACAGAAACTAATTCTCACCCCATTTGAGAGGAATCTTGATTTCTGGCGGCAGCTGTGGAGGGTCATCGAGAGGAGGTAGAAAGAGGAACTTTGTACAGATGTGGTTTAAACTTTTTCTTAGTGAGGAATATGATCTGTTTAGGCAATGCTTAAGGCAAAACTGTTTTCATGTTTTCCGGTAGCGATGTCGTAGTTCAAATCGTCGATGCCAGAAATCCTTTGCTGTTCAGATGCCCAGACCTGGTACGGACTTTATTTTTAATAGTGGCAGAGTGGTTTCAGTGGGGTATGGCTTGTGTGTTCACTGATAAAGAGGGCGATTACACCTTTCTATATACATCAGTGACAGTTTGTCCTGCATTAAGATACATATATTCAAAGTGCTGGTTGTCTGTTACCTTTAAGCTATTTGTATTTTTGTTGAGGTTTTAAATTTTGTGTGTGTGCTGTTATTTTTCACCTTAACATTTCTGTCAGTATAAATTAAATGACCTATAAAAAAACTTCATAATTCATAAACCTTGGATGTCAACCAGTAGAAATACAGTAATAAAATTAACTTAACATTTCACTTGTATTCAGTTGATTGATTATAACTTCTTCTTGTGCTTTCAGGAGTCGTATGTAAAGGAGGTGTCCGAGGATAAGATCAACATGCTGCTGGTGAACAAAGCAGATCTGCTGACCAGGGAGCAGAGACGGGAGTGGGCCAGATACTTTGAGAAAGAAGGGCTGAAGGCAGTATTCTGGTCTGCTCTGGCTGAGAGCAACAGGCTGGATGCAGAGGACAAGGTGATGTCCCCTGTAAATTATACTGTGCGTGTTCGTTTTGGAGAAGTCCTTATGAATAGCCATTTTGCATTTCAGTCTTGCTTCTGCTGCAAACCCAGAGTTTAAAATGGCAGTCTTCTCTTCCTACAGGGTGTGGAAGTGGAGGATCCAGAATGTAGAGAGAGTGACCCAGAGGAGTACGAACAACCAGACAATGAAGGCTTCAATCAGAAAGGGGCAGATGGAGAGGGCGTGAAGGTTGAAGAGGGAGAAGAGAGTGATTTAGAGGAAGAGCAGCAGGAAAAGATAAGTGTGGATGAGGAGGACTGGTACACCTGCTCAGAAGGTGAGGAAGAAGAAGCGGAAAGGACTGTCAGCTCATTCAGTGAATCCTTCCACAACTCCAGTCGACTGCAGCATAAGGATGAGCTGCTGGATGTCTTTAAGGCTGTTCACAATGGGCCCAGGTGTAAAGAAGGACAGCTGACAGTGGGACTGGTGGGTAGAAGTTACTGTTCTGATTTATTTACTGTAGTCATGATGTTGTAATCTAGTGCAAGCGTTGCGCAGGGATGTTGCTATGTTTGTTTTTACTATAGCCATGACGACAGTGTGCCTTGAATTGAACATCAACTCTAAATAACAGTTTTACATTGCTACTTATGTGGGCTAACATACATGGGCTGAGTGAAAAGGTCAATATCATATAAATGATCCCTTTTATCATGTGTGTATATCTAACAGGTTGGGCTAAGGCACAAGAAAGTGTCTGTTTCTGCCACTCCTGGACACACTAAGCACTTTCAGGTACAGCACTACTCTCTAAACCTTTCTATATGAATTGATCATGCATTCCAAAAAAACCCTCAAGTCTGATTGATTTTATTTTCATATGGATCACAGACTCTGTATGTGGAGCCAGGCCTGTGCCTGTGTGACTGCCCAGGTCTGGTCATGCCCTCGTTTGTTTTTACCAAAGCTGAGATGATCTGCTCTGGGATTCTGCCCATTGACCAGATGAGAGATCACGTACCTGCAGTTTCTTTTATATCCTTTATATGACAATGAAGCCTCTTTGACTGGATTATGACGGTGCTGTGATAATTTACATTCATTGTTAACATTGTCAAGTAGGTTGTAACTTTGCAGCAGTAGCTTTTTTTAAAATTCCAATGTACTGTAATAGAGAGAATTAACTCGGGATCAGCTAACTTAGTTAACAGAAGGGGAATGCATATACTGTTCATTCCAGGTGTTAATTGTTCATCTTTAACTGTGTTGCTTGCCTTTAAGGACTTTACTGTGCTTTTAACCCATTTATGTTGTTTGCATTCACAATACACAGTACAATAAATCCTTTAGGTAGGTTTGCATTTTTTCTCCTACCACAGACGGAGCAGGGACAATAATCTTTCTCTTTTCCGGCAACACATGCAGTTATTCACACTTAGGGGTTTACACACTGATACACTAAATGTATGATATTAATTTATAATATAAGAACATGTTGCGTCTAATATATTACTTCAAGGCTAAAATGGTTAGACCCTTAATGGATTAGATACGTATGTCAGACAATACCACGGCATGTATTAGAAGGTACCTACGGCATCAACATCATCCGACCACGAGAAGATGAAGACCCTGAAAGGCTCCCCACCGCAGAGGAGCTACTAATGGCTTATGGATGTAAGATTATTACATGGCAGATGTTTAGAGTGTTTCTATAATGGTTTAGTAACTATAGGCCAAATGTTTAACTTCTAATGCTACAACTCTCCCTCATCTTTGATAATAAATAAAATACTTTTTTTCAAGCTTTGTGTTAACTATGTTTGGGTTTGAAAAGCACTGTGCAAACTCTGTTTTTAGGTAAGAGCTGCATACAATTCATTATCCTGTGTTTTGATTTTTTCAGACATGAGAGGCTTTATGACATCGCATGGCCAGCCTGATCAGTCCAGGTCAGCCCGGTACATCCTGAAGGATTATGTCAGTGTAAGTTCCAGAACAGGGTCAGATTTAAAAAGTTTCATTTGCAGATACATTTTTGTTGTGAGTTTTACCACCCTAAAAAAAGGATTGTAAGGCTGAATAAGACATAAGAGAGCATTTATTGAGCACCAAAATGTTTAGACAGTTTCTTTAAAGATGATATGTAACACCTCACCTGCCGTTTTTCTGCAACACCTGTGAATCATATGGGAACCTTTTGGCCATATTACTGCATATGAGCAAAGCTGTTTTGTAAATTGTAGGTTAAAACCATTTACAGAGCATAAGAAGTTTTGATTTTATTTTTTTAATTTGCCAAACTAGGGCTGTGCCATCCATATATATGTGCATCCTGAGTAGGATATTGTCTTCCTAACCCTCTTCCTAATAATGTTGACTCCACACAGGGCAAGCTTCTGTACTGCCAGCCTCCTCCACATATTAATGCTGAAGACTTCCAGCCTCAACACAGCAAGTTCCAGAAAAGAGAATTTGATAACTCTGACTTCTCCACAATAACAAACAACAACACACAGAAAATCAAGAGAATTGAAAATGTGGTTGACAAGAACTTCTTCCATCAGGTACAAATCCATGCATTAGAAGAATCATGAATAGTAGTTAGAAGTTGTCAGAAAACCAGAATGATGTGTAAGTATGTATGTAGCAGAGAGGCTATTTACAGTATTAATTAAATGTTTGAGTATTGATGGGATGTCTGTCTTTAGGAGAATATACGGGCGCTTTCAAAAGGCGTTCAGTCTGTCATGGGCTACAAACCAGGCAGTGGACCCGTCGGCCCAGGCAAAGCTGAATCAGAACCAGTGGTGGGAAAACCCTGGAAAAAACACGGCAATAGAAACAAGAAGGAGAAAGTACGCCGGCTTAACAAACATCTGGACGCCTGACAATGATGTGAAATCTCAGCACTAAGTTACAGGTCACTTCAGTTGGAATGGAAAAGCCCTAACAGACAGTGAATGTGATGCATTATGTGGAGGGGTAGATTCAAGTTTCTTAATTCTGTGAGCATGGCAAGTTTAGACCATCCTGATATAAACAATTGAGGTGAATGATTTGTTATTTACTGCTGTGGTTTGAAGAGCATAATTGTGCAATACATTCCATGAACTGGTTCTCACCAGCGGTACAGCAGAGCTCAGCACAGTGTTGAGAAACAGACTCAACAGCCAAAGGGTGATAATTTATTAGTAATTGGAACAGAAAATTTCACTTTATATTCTGAAGCTGTTTTCCCATCACAAAGACTTCATTACCCAGATAAATTGCTCATTTTGGATAGTTTTTAACCACATACTGTTAGGATAAATGTAACTAAAATGGATTATAGAATAAATGCATATTTTTCATTGTAGTGTTTATTCTTCACCTCATTTCTGTGATATCATTGGGAAATGCTTACGGTGCAACGGTGGAAAGAAAAGTAATCTCCATTTGTATATCATGCCCCCTAATGAAACTGAGAGGTTTATTATCGGATATAAACATTTCCCTGATTACACAGCTGACGGTGCTTCTAGTCAAGAGAGGACTCATGAAACCTGAAACTACAGCATCATAATTCATAAGAATATAAAGTATTTAAAATGTCACAAATGAATGGAGATGTATAGTACAAAGCCCACTCAGAAGTGTCTTATCAAGTCAGGATAGCCTCACAAGTAACCACTAACATACAGCCTGGGAAATTAGTAAATAGTAGTACCATAAATACTCTACTTATTTAAAGATATTTAAGGTACTTGTTTACTCTGCAACTTCATACTGTATCCAGTATATTTAAGGAGGGAATATTACACTACAACAGTATTATGTTACATATGCATTAATAATGATTTCTTATAATGTAATGCATGATATTTTATATCAGTCACGAGAGGCAAGGACTTTTATTTTGATACTTGAAGCACATTTAGCTGATAATGCAGCGCTCACCTGGCAGGTGAGCATTATTGTAGCATAATCTGGATGCAAAAGACTGTTCACAAAGCTCCGCTTTCACATACTGTAAGTCGATATTCAAACACATTATAAACCCTTTGATGCATTATCTTCAGATTAACCTGCATAATAGCCAATTTCCCCACAACATATTTAGGAAGGTGTGCCACAGGTGAGCCCCTCCCCAAACTAATGCAATCCTTTGTACGTGGTGCATTTGACGCCAAAGTTGCGTGGCTAAGTAGTTGCATGGATGAATTTATTCCCCGAAGCATGGAACGTAAACATATTTAAATTATTATGGAGGCACGTACACTGATCGCGGATGGTCAAGGAAGCTCCAACACTTTCTTATCTAATCTCCTTGATTTTTGCATCGATTCTTTCAACTCCTGTTTCTCTCGTGAGGCGGACAAACTTTGCGTTCCCATCGGTCTCAGTTCTCTTTCTGCGCTGCTTTTGCTGTTGTCATGCTTTGTGTGAGTAGCTTTGCCGTTTCATCATTTACGTCAGTGATTTATTGCGAAACTTCTGGCATTAAACCTTTGTTAACTGTTAAAGCCTCGTGCATCAGAGGTGCAAATGTCGTGCAGAAAACCCAGGAGGCGTCCTCTTCGTCTACTGCTTCGTCGGAAACCTCTGCGGCACAGTTGGAGCCATTCTGTCCAGACAGCTGAGTATTCAGGTGACGCACTTTTAATCACTGTGCTTTTCATCTTTTGCAGGAACAAGAAACTTATTTCTGCTCCTTCCTCCGTAGATTTTAATGGGTGCTTTTGCTGCTGCTTTGGATGCAGTTCATTTTATTTCTTGCTGCTTCCTACTGTTGCTGTGCTGGAATTCAATGACAGGTATTTAGTCTTTGGATCCATATCACAAAAATGCAAATCTTACAATTCCCAGACCTTCTGTTAATATTCAAAGAAAGTACAGAAAGGCGGCACAGGTGCAAAAACGTATGGAGGCTTATCAGGAAACCTCTACAGATACCTAAACAAATGAACAGGGCAACTGCAGCTGTTTCCAACTGGTGTGTGTATGTTCTCCCTCAGAAAGGAGGCTGCAGATGATGAGGAAGCGGAGAAGACAGCAACTCCTTGCAGTGTGCGTACTGATGGTGGTTGCGGGAGGTTTTCTGAAACCCAGGGTCAGCCACCACCAAGCAGATTTGCCTCCCAATGGGAGGAGACTGCTGTATGTCATCCTCCGAGTAAGTACACATCACCACTACGGCCATCTGGAGCCTTTGGAGTTAGTGTGGTTGTACAGACAAATTGATTTATGTTTGAGATTGACATACAGTATATATGTCTCTCACCGTAGTCTTTTTAAATTCAGTAGCCCCACTAGCTGTCATAACTAATATTATACCACCCTGAAACTGTTGTTTTCACAGGACAACACTGAAATCCTGGGCTATGCACTTGGCATGATCTCTTTTGTCATTGCCTGTACCTCCAGATTTCCTTCACTCTGCAGAGCCGTAAGTGACAAACTACCTGAGTGTCTTGGTGTCAGAGCCACTCAGCTTTTGGTTCTTATTACTTTCACAGAATTGTTCCAAATGCTATATCATATTTAAGGGAATGACATTTCTGGTTTCCCTTTAGTACAGAGGACAGATGTTGACCTGGGCCTACATGTTATCTGGACTGCTGTGCTCACTGGCTGGTGTGCTCTACACTGCTGCCATACTCCTCTATGACACTCGGTTTCAGTTTCTTCTGAGAGCCATGCCCTGGCTGTTGTCAGCAATATGCTGTGTCACCCTGGACCTACTGGTATCCTTCTGCACAGTGTGTCTTGCTCACTTTCTTAGACTCAGGGTTGTAACGCCCAAGCACCAGGATATCACCCCTGCCACTGCACCAGCAGTTTATGTGTTGATCTTTAACTCAGCACTGTCAGATTCTTTCTATCCACTGGTGCAAGAGGGGAACCAGACAGCACCCTATGAGGGTTTCTCCGGACACAGAGAGCCTTTTAGATGGCTCAGGCATCCTCACTGAGGAGAAAGCTGTCATGAAGAATCACAGCAAACAGCACATGCATTCATCAGCACAAGCAAAGGTACGTTTTCATACTTCATGGTGTGTTTCTTCTACTATGCACCAATATTTTTCTACATTCTATTGCATGGATAAGATTACTATTGACATCAGTGTTAATTATGAGAGCTCAGTGAGACTTCTTGAATAAATAAAGTACTTGCTTGCTGTACATTTAACACTGACAATGGGATTTTACTCAGTTTATTTGGATATGTCAGCTTAATTGTGATCAGTGTAAAATAAAATATGCAGGCATTCTTGTGCAAGGTTTGACTGATACATTTATAGCTACGAACATTTGCTAATGTTGTGGCTTGAGTGTGAACATTGAACTGTACCTTTTCTTCAAAGATGAATAATCTCCAGAACAAGACTGAAATGGGCCGTTACATGGATGTCAGTATTCACCCTGCAAGAAGAGTAAGCATAGAAAGTTTCAGAGTGTCTCTCACAATGGCAGTGGGACAGCTTAATTTGATGTTGTCTTTCACAGCAAGCGGTTGCTCTTGCTGTGTAACATATTATGTGTAAACTATTGTGTTCTGTTCACAGAAATACCTAAAGGAGGTGACGATGTCCAAGGAGGAGATGGTCAACCAGCTTGCTCCCAGCACACTGCGAGTGGTCAGAGTTGACAGTTTCTGCTCTTCGGATACATCCTATGACTCTTCACTAGTCAGTTCGGATCTGGAGGTGGGTGGGACAAATTATCAGTGCTTGTAGTAGTGCTCTTTTTCCCCCACACGTGGGCAATACATCAAAATGCAAAGCACTATTAAAGTTTCTCAGCTTCAATAACTGGCTATTTTGACACATCACAGTAGGAAAAGCACAGATGTAACTAATACAGTGAATGATGGCTGAATTCCATTTAGCCACTTCAGTTTCACATTCCTGGCGTTGTGCATTTTGGCTCATTATCGCACTGTCATGGACACTTCAACAGAACAGAGCCATTGTTAATGTTATGTGATGTATGTAGTGTAATGTTAGGTGAGAACATTGATGTCAGATGCAGTGGTCATAAAGCAAAAATAATATAATGAAGCAATGAAGTGTACTTCTCAAAGTGTACCACTAGGTGGTGACAGCATGTTGGCATAATGGGTGATGCCCAACTCTGTGAAAGGTTTTTACCTGCTGTTAACTTCGTCTTATCACTTTGTGTGAAGTGCTGTGACGACTGTTCATTTTATTTCCCTTTCTACAAATCTCTGAACTCTGCTGGAGGGATGAACACCATTTGATGTTTTGAAGACAGTGGTGGAGAGCACTACCTTTAACACATCTGTCCAAAATCTCCCATAATGTTAGGTGTTTCCAAACGGTTGAAATGTATTTATTCAGGTTTTTCCTCTAATTTTGTTTCAGTGCCATTGAAAAATCTTATCTGAATCTCTGCCTCTACTTTAATAGTTGAAACAGCAGTGTTTGTTATAACCAATACAATATGGGAAAGCTCAGAAGTAACAGCGACAGCATTTATGCTGCTGCAAACCAGATGTTGTGCTTTTCACAGGGAAGTCAGAAATCCATTAGTTCCCTAATGGAACACAACAGTCAGATTGTTTTGGTGTCAAACTCAGAGACGCACGTGTGTCCGCATGTGGTTTGTGTCAAGCGTAAGCAGCAGGGTGTGTATTTTAACTTGGTTATGCAGTGTACAGTTGTGCCCAGAATTAAATACTGGATACATAGCTAAACATTTTTGAGAACAGTTCCTGTTTGATATACTCATATTTTTATACGCATTTTTCTCATTTTATTCTTTTTTCCCAGTTAATTTATTTTGGGTGTCATGATTTAGTAATTATTGCTGTTGCTACTGGATACTGGACCTGAATTTCCCTCGGGATCAATAAAGTGTCTATCTACCTATCCATACATACATACATACATACATACATACAATTTCCACTCTTCTGAAAGGCATAGTTTGAGTTTGCAAAAGGAGTAAAAGGCCTTTCCTTGTCGGATCCTGACACACTCTGTCACAACAGAAACTCCCTCAGTGTGCTGTTGTAGAAAGCCAAGCTGCGGAGGGCGTCATTTAATCAGAACCAAAAGCACATAGTGTGGGCACAAACAATTGGAGCTTGATGCTGTTCACCAAAACAGGAAAAAGCAAAGGGCGTGAATGTCCATAACAAGGTTAGTGCAAGAATGCTTTAAGAAAGTGTTCAAAATGCACTGTGTATACATGCTGTATATGTTAAACCATATAACTGTATTTGACTGTGAAAAACCCTCCGCCTCAACTTAGTCAAATCTGAGCACTCTCTGGCACTCTTCCTACTTGATATTTAGAATTAACCAGTGCTGTTCATTTGGTTATTTACTAGGAAGATGGTTTCCTCTAATGTTGGCTCATTGTGTGATGTTTAATCCTTCATTACACCGTCAGTATAAACTCACTTTTTATCTACTTTTCTTCTACATTAAACCCAGCTGTACCCAACAGTTAAATGCTGAAGACATCACAATGCTAGTGAGCAATTTTAGAAGTATTTTCATAGAACATTAATCCCCCCCCAGCTTTTCATCATAACACCATAATTGCTGATCATAACAAAACCATGATGGAGTGTGCTGCCTGTTTAAATCGAGCAGTCAGAGCTGCTCCCTATAGTCACCCTCTAGAATTGCCAGTTGTGCTTTGTGTTTCTTGTACATTTCTGCTGAGTGCCAGTTCTTTGCTGGAGGTGAGCCTGAGGTGAGGGGGGGTGGCTGAGGGGATACAGTGAGGGGTGGAATACTTTGAGATTTTCCTTGTGGCCCAATTGTTCTGCTGTAAAAGACATTTGATTGAGGACCAAAACTGGGCTGGGCCTGTCTGCCTAGGAAGTAGTGTGAAATTGTTGCCTTGTCTATAGGGGGCCAATGTTACCCTCTGCTATTTTGGGAGATGTTTGTGGTCTCTTGTGTGATGCCTTCTGTCCTGGAATTTAACTGTGTGAACACTGCTTTTACACTGTAAGCATTTAGTTGATCCTCTTTTACAACACGAGTCATTAAAACTGTCAGGAAAATAAACTTCCAAGGTCTCAAACAACAAACTGTGTTGAAAAGGAAAAGTATCAGGGCCCCAGAAAAAGTAGCAGCAAATATTCCTGTGTTCTGAAAATAAATAAATAGGATAGAGATGTGCTACGTAATGGATATTTGCAGCCTGCATGCAGATCAGTTAAAGTGCAGCTTCTCTGTGCTCCTGCAAAGCCACTGAAGAAGATAACTGCTAGCGTAGTCGGTGTAAAAATGATCAACAATGCACTCAAAAATACTTTTAGACCTCAGGGATACACAATGTATTTTGGTGAGTAATAATGAATGTAAACAAACTTTGTATACAGACACTCCACAAGGCGCATATTAATATCTTCTTTTATAGCTGTTACTTTAACATTAGCTACAGAGTTGACTGTGTATGGAAACAAGGTAGAATATGATTGAATCCTTCTGCCATAATTCTCCATGATAATATCTTGACCTGTCTGTTTTCCAGTGGGATTTCGAAGAGGCAAATGTCCAGTGGAGAGAACAAACAGTAAAACAGCAGAAGAGGAATGAGTTCCCCCTCAAAGAGTGGCTAACAAACCCCAAACCCTTTAACACCTGTGCCATACCTGGATTCCAACAGAAGACACAGTCTGATACAGTAGAGAGTGTGTGTGTTGTTGCTGTAAATTTTGAGAAATGACACAAATGTCAGTCGGTTACTAATATGTTACTGCATCCACTACACACCTTAATTTGAGAGGTAATAAAAGCTGCAAACATTGACCTGTTTGTCTTGTGTTATCACATTTTCTACTGATTATCTTTATGTGTGTAATAAAGTTTAACTCTGAGTGATGATGGTAAACTGAAAATTGCAAGGCTTGGTAGTTAATAGTGGATGTTTTATGATAGAGATGCATTGTGGAGCTTTGTTCCTAACGTGACTGTGTCTCAGTTCTGAGTAGCAGCTACAGCTAGTGTGAAATCTCTGCCCTGATGGCATTCATCAAGCAGTCCGAGAACGGAGATTTGTTAGGATGGTTTACGGAAAAGACCTCCCCTAATAAAACAATATTGCTCCCCCGCTGCCTTGCAAGGTTATTGGGTCACATCCTGTATTTTGCTTGTCGACCTGGGTTATCAGGGTTGGACGGGGAAAAGGGCCGGCAGAGGAGATAAGCACCAGACTAGACGGCCAGAGCTTGTCCATCCTCTCCATCACCCCTCGGACCTCTGTCCATCTGCCTGTTCCGAGGCTTTAGACGATGATGCTGGAGCAATTGACCAGGGCATTTCTAACCGGCAGGACTTCCTAAGGCCCGATAATGGAACAATACACAGATTAGAGCAAAGCTATGAAGCACATTTTACTCCACCCTGTTACATTTCCTCAAGTGACATGTCTGTCTGGGACAAATGACTGGGAAACAACAAAGTGTAACAAAGCAGCTGCTGATATCAGCAATAGAAATTAATGTAGCTAAACACCTTGTTTGCCCTGTAAACATGACCCAATAGGCTGGGTGGTGCAATAATTAAAAAATATTGTTTATTGAATTTCACCCACATCCTGTTGAGATGATATATAGTTCCATCAATTTATATTAATCACTAATGATTCAGTTAGATTTTGAGCAAGCTGGAATTTGGAAAAAAAATACAGACTATAAAAAGTTACCAACACATGAAGAACTACATCTCATAAACTTGCTTTCAACATCAGTTTGTTTTCTGTGCTTTTGCAAACACTCGATTGATTCATTTAATACAAACTGATATTTGAAAATATACCTATTATCACTGTAATGTTTTCAATCCCATTGTCCAGTCTAGCAGATGATTTTCCATAACTATTCTGGCTTTAATACCTTTAAGATGTGATTAATGAACCCACAATGAAAAGCCTAATGTAGTGCTTCCTGCTGCTGATAAGCCACTAATGCTGCTGATGGACAGCTATGACTTCTCTGTGTGTAACTAAATAAGTAGACCTGAAATCTGACATGATGAACAAGATCAATCATTACACATACGTATATTGTCAGGTTAACTTGAGCTCATGTTGCAAAATATGTCTCCTCTGCTTTACTGGTGGTATTATTTTTGTAATAGATTTATTCGGTTGTTGTTGACCTGAGAATGTTACCCCGAGAACCTTGTTGTAATTTGAAATTTCTGTTTTTCCTCTGCATTTCCAGATTCAATAAACTAAAGAAAAAATGTGTTTGTCTCCCATTCAGGCAGTCTGATGTTATGATAAATGCTAAGCTAGCACTACTTCATCTATCTCTTCTGAGACTGGGCGAAAGGAAAACAAACCGTGCCCCCCACATAGAAAGGTGGAATTCTGACATTTTGAAGGGCATGGATTAGCACATCTGAAGCAACAGTGGGGAACAGACCATTTTGTTTTTCTTGGCCCATACATCAATGATTGCACCACTGCAGAGGACATGGAAGACACTGGATAATTTGAGTCCATACAAGATTTTTGTTCACCTTCAAAGCTGGCTGCTAGGGGTTTAGGAGTAACACAAAATCATGAACAGCTGTTAATGAATAAGACAAAAATAAATTAGAAACGAAATGCTTATTACTGAATACCTATTAATAATTGAATTAAGGATGAAAAAATATATATAATAAATAGCTTAAATAATCTTGGCTATCTTAACCTGTTTGTGGGCCCTGGGAAACCACAAGGGTCCTGTACCAGTGCATCTCAAAGAACTGGAATATTGTGGAAAAGATTTTGTAAAGAAAGAGAAAAAAGTGAAACTCTAATATATTCTATTTTTTGTTTGAATTTCAATTATTACAGTTTAGGCCCATGAAAATCAAAAGTCCAGCATCTCAAATTATTAGAATATTTCCTAAGATCAATCAAAAATGGATTTACAATACAGATATATCCAACTTCTGAAAGGTATATTAATTATGCACTCAATACTTGGTCAGGGCTTGTTTAGTTTAGTGTAGTGAAATAT